ACCAAATTGTACAGAAAGAGAGAAGTCAATAAGCTTTTCGTCAACACTGGGAAACATGTGTGCAGAACAGATACATCCCCCGTGAATCTCAGCTGCTCTTATTCAGCCATCGACGTACATTTATACAATTAAGCCAAACAAAGAAACATACGAGTTGAAACAGGTCATTCGTTCGGAACAACAGAATGTGTACACATGTTCAGAACGACCTTGGTCTTCGCTTGGGAGAAAAAACTACCATCCAGTGAAGTTGCATAGCACTTGCAGGACATCGGTCAATAAATCGTCACATCAAAAGCGGTTCCGGGGTCGAAATTCACGGATAATGCAATTTCTGCCATCAATAACCATTCGTTGCTCGGAGGCACTACTGGGTAAAAACATTTGTGACACAACTGTCATTGCAGTGGTAGTTTTACTGTCATACCACAAGCCTCCAAAACCATTTAGTGGCATGTCCTTTTCTACCCTCCAACACTACCGCCTTCATCATCTCGCTGTAGACAGTCCACTTTCTTACCTCATCACCAAGAATTTTCTATCGGGTTCGACGCTTGGTTTCACTCCGTCACCTAATACGATTGCGTTACTCAGTACCCCCCATCCAGATTGAATAACTCATTTCAGCCAGTGTATTACTTTTTACTGTACGTTAACAGCTGTAGGATAACACAAAATTCAATGGCTACCATCAGCTAACCCCACGTACGATTCGTTGGGTTGACAAAATGAATAACGGGGAAGGAATTTTCCACGAATAAGCTATTAATATTCCTTTTGGTGTCTCCTGTTTCACTCCCTATCCTATTGACAGTCATGCGTGCTATCTATTTGTGGGATATTTTAAACATATAAACTCACCTTGGCCTCAGTTTGGATGTGAAGTTCCATTAACACACACACACATACACAGGGAGTGGATATACGCGGCTATCTGGGATTTGGACTCAAACACACTGACCTAGTAGTTCCGTCCCACACTAGCGCATAAACTACCACATGCGCATATTACGCACTCTGCTCGCCATCCACTGAATCGATCCAGTGTGATCACGTGCTTTGGACAGTATCGCTTCTATGTCACTCTGCTTGACCAATTTTCGCGGGTTATTGTGTTGCGTCCACAAAACACGCACGTTNCACGTTGATTATATGGAACCTTGTCCACGATGTAGTGTTGTCCATAGGTATCGCGTTCGGTTTATCTGGGATAGAATCTCTGGCAAAATGAACCAGAAAATGCCTCACCAAATAAAGGAGATTTGAAAGCTCGCTTTCGTTTAGATTCGCTTCATCTGACGGTAAGCATTTTTGGGTATTGGTTACTCGGTCTGTTCAGGTATTGACCGAAGCAGCTAACCAAGCGTTCAATGTNGTTCAATGTCAAAAAAATAAGATTATAGGTTTACTAGCTGGGTTTGGGAAAAATGTTAGTTCGACCGCTTTAATGCTCGATATGAAGCCAACGGACTGCCATACCGGTTCGTCCATACAATCATGTCGCTCTTATGTGTGGATATAAAAACAAACTGATATCCATGCAAAAAGTTCTCATTGTCGGTGATTTTAACCGATAAGACCACAGAGTTGAATACACTGATAAGCTCTAGTATGCGCGTAGGCCAGTTTGAGTGCAAATCCCATCGGGATAACACAAGCAATACTTAAAAAGTGGAAAACGAAATTC